CTACCAGAAGCAGAAGAACTTTGCGGAGCGCGTTAATGCGGGTCTCGAGCTGCTGAGCGACACCTCAGCCGCATCAAATGAGCAAATGGCGCCCGATTACATCAAGCAAATACGCAATACCAAGGAGGAGGCCACCCAGCTGGATTTAGTATCCAATATCAACAATTTGCTGGAGGAGGTGTCCATCGACCTGGATCCCAGCGTCTCTGGCTACCAGTCGATGAGTCCGCAGAAGGTGAAGCAACCATTTCGATTCCTAAGTCGCGGATTCGCCATGCAAACGAACGAAAAGGATGGCGGCAAAGGCGCCTCATCCTATGTGTACAATAAACCCAAACAGACGCCGGGCACAGTCAGATTTACGGTAAGTTTTTAGGTTTGCCCTATCTCTAAAGTTGCTTTATCTATATTTGCTTATCTATAGCTCTATATCTATCTATGGCTATATCTGAATCTTTATTTATTTTTAAAGCTTTTTTATATTTATTTCTATATCTAATAAGGCCGCAAACCGGCTCTAATTCGAACCTTTACGAGTCCTGAATTCCAAATAATGTTTTTAGTTACCCAAGAAACAGCTGAAAGAAATTCCGAAAAAGGCTTACTTAAACAAAAAATAGATATCATTTGGTCCAACTATTGCATTCATTTTTGATAAATGTCAATTTTTTGGCCAGAGATCAAATTTAGCCCGCTTTCTGTATATGAAAATATTTATATGGCTAGCAATATTTTCAGTACATCGGGCAATTGAACATTCAAATAAAATAATTTTGTCACAATTTGGAATGTTCAGACACGACAAACGAAGGCTTAAAGCAAAAGCTTGCCTTAAACTTGAAGAAAATAAGCTTCACGAAGCGCACTTGGCTCGAACCCTGAACCGTAATTTTATTTTTTTTTGATTTGCAGCCTTTATAAATATATATATATATATATAAGTGTATATTAATATCTTTTTTATTTACATATATCTATGCATCTTTATGTCTTTATCTTTATTTACTCTATACTCTCTTTCAAATCTCTCTTGAAATTCCCTCTCTCTCTTTTGCTAATCTATCCAACTATCGCCTACAACTTTGACTTCACCCACACATCTTAAACCACACAAAATCATCAACCACCAATCGACACTAAAGCCCAATGAGCTACCATTTGAAGCTCACAAAGACACTGAACACAAGCTCAAATTTAATAATGAAAAAACCACAAGCAGCACCACAACCACAACAACGAGCACAACTACTGAAGCGCCCTTTGTCGATGCAATTGAAGAATTGTTAATAGCGCCTACATTGCCGCCAGCGTTTGCTGAAGAGGATACAACCACAACTGCCACATTTGGTAGCACAATTGAGCCAGCTTCTCTTGGCTACGGCAGCGAGCTGCCCATCATAGAATCCATTGGCCAGGCCGCTGCGCTGACTGCTAGTCTGACGCTAAGCGAAGATCTGCAGCCGGAGCAGGCACCGCTGAATGCCGCGGCAGCTGATAAAACGGATGTGGATCTGCAGGCGGAGAAGCTGCTGCTGGCGGGCGTCAAGCTGACCTCGCACGCTGAGGAGACAGCGCTGCGCACCAATAAACTGACGCTGGGCAGGCCAGCAACGAGCACCACCAGCACCACCAGCACCACAGTGAAACCAACAACCACGCCTGGGATGAGCACCTCCACAGAAACTGTCACGGAGATCAGCAGCACACAGGAGCGCATACGCAGCTATCGACGTTTTGCACAGAAACGCGTGGGCGGCTCGGGCGGCGCACTGCGACGTCAATTGCCGCTGGGGCGCAGCACCACGCCGAGCACCACGAAAGGCACCAGCACACCACGCTCAACCACGCCCACACGCAGCTATTTGGAACGCTTGGCGGCAAGTCGTTTGCGCCTCTCGCGCTTATCGCTGACCACCAAGCCCACCACAGCCAAGATAACCACAGCAGCAGCAACCACCAGCAGCAGCACAGCTGCAACCACAACAAGCACAACAAGCTCCACCAGCACCACAGAGTCGCCTTTGTCCTATGTGCGCGCTGGCGCCGATCAGGGTCCCAATAAAAAGATCTCTGTGCGCGACATTGAGCGGGAAACAGGCCAGCAGCGCGCCAGCTGGGACAGCGTGCAGAGCAATTTGCAACGCTTTCAAGTGCAGCGCGGCAATCGCGTCTACACGCCAGTAACACGCGCCACCTCCACCCCCACCAGCCCCACCACACTGGTTAGCAGCATCAGCAGAGCCAGCACCACCAGCTTGACTCACAGACCCACAGTCGCCGCCAGCGTGCAACAGCGTGGACGCAATCGTCATGCCACCTACAGAACACAAGCACCACAGCAACGCACACGCGGCACCACCACGCCGCGCAGCACCACTAGCACACAGCGCACCACAGTGGCCGCTTTGTCTACGCTGTCGCAACAAATCTCTGCCTTGGCCGCCGGCTACAGCTACGCACCTCCACTCACACACAACCACAATAATGCACTCACAACCGCTCAAACTGTCATTGTGAGCGGCACACAACCACAAGCACGACTACAACCACCAACACAACCACCAACACAACAGCAATTACAGCTGACACAAATCACTTCAAGCCTTAATCCTTCCACTGCTTTCCTGCCCTTTGATAAGCTAACGCGCGCCATTGTTGATGACTCCATTTTACAGAACTTTAAGAGCAACCACGCCCAAAGAGGCGCTGCCAATGGCTACGGCAGCAACACCCAGCAGCAGCAACAGCAGCGCGTTACGAAGCCGACAACAAGCCACAGCTATCATTATCCCAAGCCTACAGCAGCAGCAGCAACGGCAACAGCAGCACCAGGTAAGCACAGCAGCAACATATATATGTTGCAATTATTGACACTATTCATATGTATTTATATTATATTGCAGCTCTGGCTAGTCTGCGCATACCACAACGCACGCAGCAGCAACAGCTGCCGCAGCTGGTGCTGCCCACTCAGCCGGGCATTGTTATTGCTCGTGCAGAGGGACAACGCATTGCACCCAGCTCCGCCAATACCATCATCTCCTCGCTGGTCAATCAGCCGCAAACGAAGACTCCTCAGTCCAACTCCTATGTGGCGCTTAGCGATTTCCTCAACAATAAATTTGGCAGCAGCAGCAACACTGCAGGTCCCATCACAATACAGCAGCAGCAACAGCAACATCTTCAGCCTGCGCAACAGCAACATTCGCTTGTTCCTCAGCAGCAGCCGCAACAGTCCCATCAGCTGCAGCTATTGCAACAACAGCAGCATCAGCATCAGCAACAGCAACAGCAACATCAGCGTCAGCCACAGCAACAGCAGCAGCAACTTGAACAACATCAGCAACAGCAACATGAACAGCAGCAACATCAGCGTCAGCCACTTAAACAGCAACAACAGCAGCTGAGCTACATCACCCAGCGCTATCAACAGCCAGCACATCAGCAGCAACATATTCACACACTGCAGCAACAGCAGCAATATCAGGCACAACAGCAGCAACAACATGAGCAGCAACAGGAGCAACATCAACAACAGCAGCAACATCATCAGCAGCAGCAACGCCAACAACCACAGGCCGCACAGCAAATTAGTTACCACACACAATACCAGCAACAGCCTCATCAACGGACACAACAGTTGCAACACTTTCAGCAGCAACAAGAACAATCTGCACGTCCCTCCATACAGTCCATACAACAGCCTTATCTGACGCCCAACATTTTTGTGCCCTATCAGCAACAGCAGCAACATTTGCCGCTATTCCCACCGCTGGCAGCAGCAGCCGCACCCAACCTGGCCCAAACGACGCGTGTGGCTGGTCAGCAGTTGGATCATTTGAATGTGCCATTGCCGGCACTTGCCAATGGCTTGATACCAGCGCCCACATTGCAGGTGGCACAAAAACGCAGCGATGTCAAAGTCGGCAAGCTGCAGCTGAGCAGCAGCAGCAAGATAATGGATCAGGGTCAGGAGATGTCCTTTTATGCGGGCCGTACATCCTACGAGGTGCCACAGAGCAGCGTGGGCCGTTTGCCCAATGACATAACGCAGCAGCGAAGACTGCGCCAGCGACGCTACTGAGGATGAGGAGGAGGAGCGGCTGGAGACGACGTGAGATTACTACTACAAAAGCTAAGTTATTATTTATGTGCTACGATTATTTAGGCTTAACTTAATGCAATTGTAAATTATATATATATAATATTCTATTGAATTTGCAATATTTATTAAATAAATAAAACGACGAAATTTGTTGAAAACGATTCTTTGGTTGTTGTTGATTTTTTTTATGCAGTTTCATGGTGAGATTAAGTTTTATTGTTTAAAGTGTTTAGAATTGTTTCTTATTATTAATGAATACAAATACAATACAATGTTTTACTTTTACATGTAGCTAATATTATTATTATTATTATTGGTTTATATTGTTTTACAATATTCTATTTTGAATAGTTTTCGAATGTTGTTTGTTTCTTTGCATTTTTTATTTTTTAGCCTTTTGATATTGCCTTTGCTTTTAATTGGTGTCAAACATTTTCTATTTGTGGTTATATGCTTAGCCTAATTAATGCTGTGCACAATGCATATATAATCATCATCATTATAATTATTATCATTATATATAGAATTAAACGTTATGGCATGGAGTATTCGTTTTATACATACAAAAATTGAACTAAATTATCAATTGGCATATGCATAAAGTAAATAGATTAGCATGAACAAGAATAAAATAAACCATTTGTGATGTGCTCGATCAGCAAAAGAATATGCGCAGTAAAACGTAAAACAGGCTATGTATGTATTTGCATTGTAAACATAACTACGACTAAATTACCTATTTAATAAGTACTATATATATAAGTGTATACATATATATATATATATATATATATATATATATATAGAATAGAAATAATAATAATTTAAATAATAGATAATCAACTAAAAATATATATATATATATATTAATATATATATGAATTTATAAACTACCATTAAAACTGTCGCCCACAGCGTCTACATAAAATGTACAGCAATCTTTTTACACAAGTTTTAAGTTTTAAAAGGATTATAGAACACAAACAGCAACAGGATCAACAGCAGGCGCAGCAGCAGACAAGGTCAAGAGGATCAACAGCAGCAGCTGCTGCCTGCATCCAGCCATTTAATGATTATATACAAAACAGGCAGCTGCTCGGCTTAAGTAGGTATTTTTATGATGCAGTCGCTCGCGTCGCTTTATATATCCGAGCTATTAGCGTGCGCTCAACGCTTGACGTCTAGGCGACATTTCTGTACGCGCACGCGTACTCAGGGAAGCGAATTGATGTTCAGTGTGGGCGGTGGCTCAACTACGCTAGCTGGTATGGTTGCAGCCACCGCTACTGTTGTTGCTGCAGCTGCAGCAGCTGCTGCTGTCGTTGTGATTGCCTCTAGTGGCACATGCAGCTGGCAATAGACTTTGCGTTCCTGCTCGCTCAGGCTCCAGCTGGCGACACGGGCGCATGGCACATGCGCCGCTGCCTTGCAGGTGCGTTGAAAACAGCACACATTGGCGCCGGGCTGTGCACAGTGGACGCACTGATACCGCGTGCTGTCCCAGACGGCCGCATCCAGGCCATTCACATGGGCGCCAATCAGTTGTATATCATTGGCCCAGACGGCGCAATCTTCGTGCAGCCAAATCTCGTAGCACTGCTCGGAGGTTTTCGACATGCCCCGAAACGTTTCAACGAACTTGGCCTCGTGGCTGCAGTCGAGCGGATCCTGCGAGGAGCACTGCGATTCGTTCGGATCATCACTGCAGGAGTAGACGCTGTCGTGGGTTTGCTTGCGTTTGCGTTTGTGCTACAAGAGAATTGCAAAATGAAATTGAATAGAAACAAGCTCTCAGCAGTTACTCCAACTAACCCATTGCTTACCATTGTTATCTTGGGCGCCTGCATAATGTTCGCCAGCGTTGCGGGCACTACGGGAAGATTGCGCTCCTGCATCTTGACCATGTCGGCGCGCTTGCGTTTGCTCACAAATAGCCCATCGATGTCGTGCACTCCCGCTGGCACCTGCACCGCTGTTCGATACTCCTCACAGTCTATGGAAACCAGATAGGGCCCGAAGAGATCACCCAGCCCGAGCTTGTGTGGTCCGCACTTGCAGAACACGCATATCCAACTGGAGTCGGTGGTGTCCGCATCATAGCGATTGCTCAACGTTGAGCTGTGCATGCCGCGCAGATTTTTGCGTTCATGGGGTGCCTTTGTGTGCTTCTTCTTGGTCTGCTTTTCGTTGACATCTTCGGCGCTGTGCGTGTTCTTAATGCTAATGCTGCCATCGGGCTTGATCAGTATGAATGGGGATTTAAACCTGAGATCTGGAGCTGCACCGTTGCTGCTCTCACGATTGGGCGCCGGTGTGCTGTCCTCGTCGGTGCTGAAAATTTTGCGTGCGCCGCCGGCGACACCTTTTTTGCCAACATTCTGCTTGGCGCCGTTCTTGCCCGTTGGCTTCTTACCCTTGGGCGCATTCTTCTTGTTCTTTTTCTTGTTGTTGACATTTCCATTGCTCGCCTTCGGTGCCAGCGTTTTGGCCACAGCCACTTCGCTGAGCTTGCGTGCCGCCAGCGCAGCTGCTGCCGCGGCTGATGTGCTGGGCTTGTCATCATCGCTGTCCAGCTGTACAATTTCCGTTTCCGGTGGCGTCACCACCGCCGGCTGCTTCTTGCGCACCGGCGTTTTCTTCGGCTTCACCTGATCCTCTATGGTGAAGCGCAGCAGCGAGGGATCCATGCCCATAGAAAGTCGCCGGGGCGGCAGACAACGCGTCGGCGGCGTTCGCGGCGTCAATTTGACGCTTGGCGGAGTTGCTGACGCTGCCGGCGATGGGGTATGTTCGGTGTGCTCCTTGGCTAGCGGCTCTGTTGTCGGCGTCGGGCTGTGTATGGGACTGGGCAGCGTCGATTTCATGGCCGCCTTGGTTGCCATGGGCCGCAATTCAGGCGTCGGCGTGGGCGTGCTCGCAGCTGGTGGTGTGCTAGCAACAGGTGTTTCCTGCACCACAGCTTTGACCTGTGCACCACTGTCTAAAGCTAATTGTGCGCTAAGGTCATGCTCTGCACGGACTGCTTTTGCTACGCTTGGCGGCTCATCTGCTTGCTCAGCGGGCTCGTCTTCAATGCCAGCAAACATTTTCTCCAGCTTATCCTCCACCTCGTTAAAATGGCAGGGCTCTGTGGTGGGGGCAGCTGCTGTTGTATTTGTTGTTGCTGTTGCTGCTACTGCGGGCGATTGTTTTCCAGCCGGCGCTTCCACTTCATCCTCATCATCGTGCACGCTTACCGCGGGCTTGGCATCAATGTCACCCTGCTCTACCAGCGCTGGGGATGCGGGCGTGTCTGTGATGGCCTTGTTATTGTCCAGCTGCTGCTGCTGTTGCTCCTGTTGCTCTTTGACTGGCGGCGCCTCACTGGTCCGACTGCTATGGCTGCTGTGCGTGGCCGCACTGGAGCTGCTCGAGCTGCTGCTGCTGCTATTGCTCTGCGGACTTGGCGGCTGCACTAGTGCTTCTTTAGCTGCTTTTGTCGCGGGCAACTGTTGCTGCTGCTGCTGGTCCTGCTCCTGCTCCTGCAGCTCATCCTCAACCTGGCGACGCTGCTGCTGTCGTTGCTCTGTGAGATTGCGTTGGAGCAGCGCCTGTCGCTGCTTCTTAGTCTTGGGATTGTCCGTGTCGTTGTACACTGTGGAGCTATTGCTATTGTCAGTTGCAGCCGCAGTTGGCGGCGACACTGATCGTCCATTTTCTTGGGGCAGCTCGGGCTGCTGCTGCTCCTTCAAAGAGAATGGCTGAAACTCGTGCACATCGGCGCCATTCTTGGGCGAGTGCTTGGGACTGCAGCTGTTGCTGAGAGGACTCGGGGTGCGCTGCCTTTTCACATTGTCGCTGGGCGTCAGACGCATGACCTGGCTGGCTTTGCGCTTTCGCCGCTTCCGACTATTGCTGCTGTTGCTATTGGACTCCAGTGATTCCTCATTTGAGGTTGTCATGTACGGCGATTCGGGCGCCTCGGTTAGCTGTTTGTCCTCGGCAACTGGCGGCGGCAGCGGTGCATTGTTACTGCGATATGAGGCCGTTGTGGACAGATCGGTAATGATCGTTTGTGACTCTTCTTGTGCCGCCTGCTGTTGCTGCTCTTCTGGCTTGTGCTTAGACAGCATATCGAGATTCGTTAGTTGCGTATTGCGGGAATGCATTTGTGACGTTTGCTGCGGCGGCGTTGGCTGTTGATGCTGCTGCTGCAGTAGCGGTTGCTGCCTCTGCTGAAATTGTGCGCTCGTCATGTGAGACAGCGGCGGTGGTGGTGGTGGTGCTAGATGCTGGTTATGGTGCGTTGCTGGCGGTGCATAATGCAAATGCTGCTGCTGTTGCTCCTGCTGCATGTGCTGCGGTGGCTGCTGTTGCTGCTGCTGCTGTTGTGGCGCATAGCTGCCTACGCTTGCGTGCAGCTGATGATGCAAATGCAGCTGATTGTAGTCCAGCGGCGACTGAGGCGTTGGTGGCGTCTGCGGGCCATTATATTTTGGTGGCGTCATGTTATATGGCGGCGGCTGCTGCTGCTGTTGCTGATGATAGTTGCGCAGCGGCGAAGCTGTGGGTGCATAGTAGATAGTTAAAAGTTCTCTTTAGGCATATTGTAAGCACTTACGCTTTTTGGCGTGCTGCTGCTGCTGCTGCTGTTGCATGTTGTGCGTGGCCAGTTTGCCTGTGGCGCCCGTATAGCCGCAGTCCTTACCGCTCAGCTCGGCGCTCTTTTGCATGCTCTTCAGCTGCGTCAGCTTAAAGTTTTCGTCACGATGCTGCATATAATGGGGCGGCGGCACATTGTTGTTGCTGCTGCTGTTGTTGTTGGCGTTGCTGCCATTGCCACTGCCACTGTTGCTGCCGCTGCTGTTGTTGTTGTGATTGTTATTATTGGGCGGGGTACTTGGCGGGGGCGGCAACAGCGACTCGCAATCGGCAGGGCCAGTGCCATTTGCATTCAGATATTTGCTGGCAGCGCTGGCAGGCGATGTCGATGTTGGCAAGCCCGGCAGATGTCCTTGTTGCACGCCTGCTGGCGTATTTGTGGTCAAATTGTGTCTGCAAACGGAGAAAGCAAAAGTTGGTTTCATTGCTATAGTCTTTAGGCTTTGAGTTAATCTTTCGTTTCGGCTGCATAAAATACAGACTAGAGATATACTTTAATATATCTTTTCGAGCAAGTATTAATTGTGTCTGGAAACGCAAATTCTTGCTTACATCGTTGGATAATTGGGTGGTGCATGCAAATGCGACTGTTGTTGTTGTTGCTGCTGCTGTTGTTGTTGTTGTTGTGCTTGCTGCTGTTGTTGTTGGCCAGTTTTATTCAGCGTGGGCGCAGCGCTGCGACTTGATTGCAGCGACAAATCCATGGAGTCAAAGGGCAATGTTCCAGTATATGGCGGCGCCAGCAACGGATTCATTTGATGATGATGGTCCAGCTGGAAGGCAAGGCATTTGGATTAATTATGAACAACTACAAAAACCAAAAGTAGGCAAACAAAACGCAAAACGATTGGAGAAGCAACTACAAATGCAAAAGAGCTTTAAAGAGAGAGAGAGAGAGAGACGGAGGGAAAAGCAGGGAATGTCAGATTTGGGAGTTGGCTACGGGTGGCGCTTGGAAGGAGTTTTGGTTTTGGTGCATGCGTTGGATTGGATTTTGTCGAAACGAGCGACGAACGAAACTACGCTAATTACGTTTTTATGATTGGCCGACATAAAATTGTAAATGGCATCTGGCGGCGGCGGTGGTGGCGGCTGGGCGGACGCATGCCAAGCCAGCGGGGAGCGGACCAGCGACCGTTCGTTGGACATGTGCGCCAATTGCGGTTGTCGCGGTATATACGAAGGTATCTGCAGAGATGAGGATGCAGTCGTTCAGCCGTTAGCTTCAGTTCGGTCGGACGGTCTGGCGGCCAGGACAACAGATACTTACTTGCAGGGGATTCCATGAGGGATTCTGTGCCGCTTGACTTAAATGACCGTGCGGATGATTGTTGTTGGACATGATGCTATGCTATGCTAATGTTCAACTAACTGAGCAGAGCCTGCATAGGTATCATCTAAATATTTCGAAGGATTCGAAGATTTTTGATTGCCGACAATCAAAGGGCGGCCGTCATGTGACACACACAGAGAACCAGAGAGCGGCGGTAAAAGGGGAAACAAAATAACCGTGCGCCGGAAGGATCACAGGACTCTCACACAGACTACAACAACAGTTCTGACTTATTATTTATAGTTAACACATAACTCGATTTGGTTTATAGGGGGAAAACACTCTGACACTGTCTATAAGGCCATACGGCACAAGGTACTATGTCCTGTCGCCCATTTGTTTACTGTGCCTGCCGCTGCGTCACTTGTACGGCGGCCATTTATCGTAAGGAGTTATCTAACTATTGCAGCTGACTCTGAATTCGAGTATAAACAAATTTCGCACGCACTTTTTTTTCACACCAACCACACGACCGCATCCACCCACTTGCAAAAGTTTTCAGCGAGCGGTCCTTGCGCGATAATGCAGACAGTCGATAAATTATCGACAGTTGTCGACAGCGTTGTTTTGCATGCCTGTCCCTGGTATTTGCTGCTTCTGCTGCTGGGCGCTACGCGAGAAACACGCGGTCTTTGTATCAATGAATGTTTGTTGCCTTATAGATTTTTGCAGTCGCATTTGCCGTTTATTTGGTGATTAAATTTGGTTAGAAGTATGTGACTGGCAGGGCATAGGAGAGTATTAGTCGGGAGTTTTGCTGATGATTAGCACTGTGTTTGCACAATACCTCAATCTTGCCTTCTCACTCACTCAAGTGCAGCGCATTGCAGCTTCGTTGCGACTGTTTTTGCGAATTACTTGTTTTGGGCCGAAAAGGCAGGCTAAGACCAAGCCTTGCCAAATAGCACAAACACACACACTTTATTACCAACACATTGTAACGTTTCTTTAATTAAATTATCATATATTTTACAAATGCCGCAGTTGTTTTATGCGATTTTACGCGTATTTCAGTTTGTTTAAAACAAAATGTAATTTACGTGTGCTTCTGCTTCTGTGTTATGAGTATGTGTGTATGAGTGTGCGTGTGTGTTTCTTAGTTCATGATTGGAGTTAAAGAACCGCAAAACTGGTTCCACTTCAAGTGCAACATTGCGGAACTCACACTCCTCACACAGAGCAAATAGGTACAAAATAAATATATGTGTAAATTATTGATATTTACAATTTACAACAATTTTCTTTATTTAAATTTAATGCCAATTTAGTTGCATATTATTATTATAGTCAGCAGCAAGCATAATGCGACCGATGTGCCGTTCGCGGGCAAAACAATCAGCTTTTGTCACACAGCTGCCGATTTGAGCGATTATGCAGCCCTGCGTTGCTCTGCACAATGAATTACATTCGCACATTGCAGTTTACTCCCCCGGCTTTTCAAGATTATCTTAAAAAAAGCGGGAAAGCGTAAAGTGAGACAGTTATATAAACAAATACATATCACAATATGAACGCAAATAAACGCGGTGCATTTATTGTATTCGAAGGATGCGATCGTTGCGGAAAAACAACACAAAACCGACAACTGTGTAAGTATATGTAAAAATGCGCAATTCTAAGTTTGCACGTGCAAATCATGACACACTGCACACACGTTGTTGTTATATCTCATGTCATCTTATATATATGTTGTGATCTTGACAAATACTCAAGAATTGTAAAAGTTTATCTCGTAGGGCCACTTCCACTGCGACCGCCTGGGTCTATTGTGCCTCTCCTTGGTAAATTGAATTATGGCTGCAGTCCAGTGCAGTCCAGTTCTAATATGTGCAAATCACATGATCTTTGGCTTTGTAGGTTGCATTTTGTAAGGTCTGAGAAGTTGACTACCTGTATGTCGCGTATCTTATCTTATACCTATGCTTATCGTAAATGCAAGGTCTGAACGTTTCCTCAACAATATTTACATATATTGTACACTCAGCTCGTTTCTTATTTAAGTCACCTTTAAGTCTCTTGTTACTCAATGGCTTGTTTCGAGGGCAATTACTCTTATGCATGAACTCTCAGGTTCACTTGACCAGATCCTAGTGAATCGCGTGTGCAGGTAAATTGACTGAGGTTGGCCTAAAACTCAACTCTATAGCATTTGGGAACGCCAAGTACTGCTCTTTGTCTGATAAGATTGCTATATCCCCATGAAGTTCTGAAACTGCGTATGGACTCTTCTTCATTTAGCAGCAACAATCTGTTTTTCGAAACCAGATTGATATGGACTTGCTGTTGCAGTGGCTAAAATAGAGCGTCTGGAAATGCAACATGATGCACCTATATACTCATCACGCACCATACGCCCCACATTCCACAAATGAATGCTCTACAGCTCTCATGCATTTCGCTTAAAGATATCAATTATTATATATGTACTTATGGAAAATCTTCAATCTAATAACAGTCGAACTGCTGACGGCGAAAGGCGTGGATACAATGCAAACCAATTTTCCGGATCGGTCTACGGCCATTGGCAATGTTATTAATAACTACTTACAAAATAACCAGGAGCTGTCCGATGAAGTTATCCACTTGCTGTTCTCAGCCAATCGCTGGGAGCGCATGAACAGCATCAAGAAGGATCTGCTGGCCGGTACGACGGTAATTTGCGATCGCTATGTCTACTCTGGCGTGGCCTACTCTGTGGCCAAGGGACTTGATTTTGACTGGTGCTGGGCACCTGAAACTGGCCTGTTGAAGCCCGATGCTGTATTCTATCTAAAGGCCACGCCCGATGAGCTTACGACACGTGGCAATTACGGCGAGGAGCGGTTTGTAATGGAATGGATTCTATGAAGGCACAGTTTTTTAATGGATCTGTCTTGTTGCAGCTATGAAAAATTGGATTTTCAGCGTAAAGTGGGCCAGATATTTGATCGCTTCAGCGAAAAGGATTCTAGCTACTGGCATACATTCGAAGCAAGCAAATCGCAGCAGGAGTTGCATGGCCAAATTGCAATTGTAGCGGAAAAAATATTAATGCAATCCGCAGAGAAACCGCTTGGCAAGCTCGCATAGGGCCATAGCAATGGATTTTCATTGATTTACGCATTGCAGACGCTTTACATTAAATTTACGATGTGTGTTATAGATTTTAGGTTGGCGCATTGATTAATGCATTTGTAAAATGGAAAAAAAATAACAATCCCAATGGGATTATCAATTGGATTTTGCCGTTAACCGGCTTTAATATAAGCCCAAAGTTGTATAAATATAGATTTGTGGACGTGTTGCATCTTTGTTACTGTTTAAGCCCGCTGATTTATGACCACGAGAGGTTTGCCTATTTATTTTAACTTTAAATATTTAAACTAAAAACTTATATTTGCAAATGAAAAAATTGCTTGGGACCAAACCATATATTAAAAATGTATGGTATGTTTTAGGTTTAGCTGTTCAATAGTTAGCTGAAGAAAATTGGAATTCTCTGGTTCAAACCCGGAGCTTTGGTTTTCTGTTTATCGAGGGACTGTTTGTTGCTCCATTTGTATTTATTTTCACTTAAGTATACAATTTTTTTTTTTTTTTTTTGTTTACAATTATATGAATAAAGAGTGTATTAAGGCTAAACCACAGCAAGAAAAAATAATTTAAGCTCTCAACTTAGTTGCTAAATGATCCAAACTTTTGATGTGCTACCCATTGTGCTTGGGACTTGGTCCCGAAAATGCGCGTTAAAGTACTTCAATTTAATTCAATTCATAGTTATCATAGTCCAACACATCCGAGCGCCGGCTGCGTGCAGCTCCAACACCAGACTTGGGTGTGCGGGAGCGCAGCGTCAGCTGGCGATAGCCCACGCCGGGTGCATAATCAATGTTGCCGCCTGCAACGCGTGCCTGAAGATTGTTCAAACTGGTCCTGAAACGCTTCTGTGCCTGGTGATAGGAGGCAATGTCGCCATAGCTATGCTTCGGCCACATGCACTCACAGCCCGAGGGCACTGTGCGTGTCTCCGACTCCCAGCAGCCGCTGCCCTCGTTCAAGCGTATCAGATGTATGGTGCGATTGAGCTGAATGCACGAGAAACCAGTAGCCGAGCAGATCTATGGGAATGTCATAATTGTCATAAGTATTAAGTTAAAATAATGATTTATACAAAATAAGGGGACTAATATATAAAGTATGTATTTCTAACGTTCCTATATAATATTTCTATTTTTATATCATTTTAGTATCGTCAGAAAGCTGTCATCATATAACTTTTCACAGGATATCTTACATATCGGATAGTTCCTCTATATCATATAGCTGCCATATGATAATGATTGGTCTACAGGTTAGTTTTTTTTTATGAAAAATTTGATTTTTTTTTAATGTTATTTGAAATGAAGTTGTTGAATTGGTTATACTCCTTTCAAATGCGCAAAATCTTCTCAACATCGGACTACTAACACTATCTATAGAAGAAATCGGCTAATATATATATCTATAGTATTTTTGTTAATTTCAGTACCTTCACTCGATAATTTTAAGAAAATTTCCTAGTCTGAATTTGAGTAACTTCGTTTTGGTTAATAGGTGTTTGGGTGATCTTGACTTCAACCTGCCCAATCCAAACTAGCTTTATTAAATATTTTAAAATAAATTATTAAAAAATCAAAAGAATCTGAGCTCCTTCACGTTTGCACTATGTAAATGAAGTATGTTTCTAGTTCTCTTGCATTTGAGTAATAATAATAATAAAAATAAAAATAAAAACAAGTAAGAGGTTCTAGTCGGGAGCTCCCGACTAGCGAATACCCTGAACCCACTTCTTCCAATATCAAATGCATATATAAATACTATTTTAGAAGCTATATGTCAAGTTTGGTGACTCTAGCTCTTATTATTTACCAAAATTGGCAAAAAAAGGATATCGATATCGATTTTATCGATTGCTTGGAAACGGAATAAGCAAGGAGCACCTACATCTAAAATTTCAAGTCTGTAGCTCTTATAGGTTCTGAGATCCTTGCGTTCATATATACGGACGCACGGACGGACGGACGGACAGACAGACTGACGGACGGATGGCTAGATCGACTCGGCTATTGATGCTGATCAAGAATATATATACTTTATGGGGTCGGAGATGCTTCCTTCTGCCTGTTACATACATTTGGATTTTGCACAAATACAATATACTATATTTTTACCCATTTTCAATGGGTTCAGGGTATAATAATAATAATAAGTATACGCACCTCACGCTTCTCACCGACCCGTTCGTTGAGCAGGGCGCGCAGCAGCGGCAGCTCATTGCTGCGATAGTTGTAGTCGTAGTTGTGCAGCCTGGCGGGCAACGGGGCATAGTTGTTGGCACAGGTGACCTCCACATAGTGATTGGGCCGATATTCGCCATTGTCCAGCTTGACGGTAACACGCTTGGTGGGGCACAGTGATTGGTAGGTGACCTGCAAGAGTTGTCAAGAGTGTAATTTACCCTGCATGGACATGATACCCTGCTTAACTTACGCCCTCGCTGCCGCTGTGCTGTGCCGCAGCTGCAGCCGCAGCCGCTGCTGCTGGTGGCATGACGCTGCGCACGCGCCGCTTGCGCACATTTTGTATGCCATAGGGCAGCTGGGGACTCAGTTCGTCCGCATCTTTGGTGGTGGCCACGGCATAGTCCTCCTCGCCCTCAATATCCACGCTGTCGTCCGTTTCGCTTGGCATTGCATCATTCTCGTACCGCTCCGGCTGACCTGCATGCCTGCAAATTGCATATGCATAGAAAATTTAAGCTTTGGCAATGAATTAGCGACGGTCGCGCAGCTGCCGGAAACGGTTGCGGCCGTCCGTAAAATTCGCTCAAAAATATTATAGAAAGAAAAAAAAAATGGCGCTTTTGACGTTTGGCGTTAGATAGTTTTTTATTTTATTCTTCAGCTTTTCATACCCTCTATCTATTGTGAATGTGTAGAAGGGGTATCATGCTTTGTACTAATCTGCAATCATATAATGCTTTCACATATGTTCTTGATGAGGACGACGAGTTAAGACGATATAGACTTGACCGTATGTCTGTCTGTCCGTCCAGCTATGGAAGCTGCACTCTAATGGGTTTATTATTATATAAACGTGAATTTTAAATAAAAGGGTATCTGCCAGTTGTACTTTCGACTAAGTTACTTTTACTTTTTTTTCTTCTTTTTTTGCAGTTGGGCAACAAAAGCGCATCATTTTGCATTCAACTGCAGCAAATGCCAATGAATTTTTTAGCTTTCATTTTGCGGCGTTTGCCATCCGCGTGCGCGCTTTGTCTGCCCGTCCACCCCCTTTCCCCTCCCCCTTCTGCAGCAGTGGGAGCTGGGTGAAGGTGTGGCATAGACAAAGCTTCCATCGTAACGCGACTGTCGTTGGCTGCCAGCGGATTTCCTTTTTCGTTGTCAATGCTCTGCGCTGAGCGGCAAACCCAACTGCGACACCAGCAAACCACCCCGAACCACCCTGAACCACCCCGACCCACCCACAAAGCCAACTGCAACCACTCACCGCAGGGGGCATTTTTGAAGCGCACTTCAGGCAAACACAGCGGCTTTGATAGTTTTGTCGCAAAGTTTGTGAAAATGTTTAGAAATAAATGGTTGTGTTTTGAATTTGTTGCCTTGGCCGCTGCCTTATATGATGCCCAGCGGCGGGCGCGGCTACAAAGCAAAGCAGCAAAAAAGTAAAAAAATATATTTTAATCTTAAGCTACAAACAAAATATAAAAAAACAACTAAAATGTTGCATTTGTTTGCTTGCATTTATATTCAAATTGAGTTGCGGAAATTTTCAAATAGTTTTTGCGGCTACGAACTGGGAGGGGCTGCATTTTATTATTTTTCTCTAAAATTATAAATGCAAGCCTGTATTCTAATTTTGTAGAGTGGACAATTGATGGGGATATAATGGCATAAAACTCCGGTGTTTACCAACTGATCAGCTTTGAACTCTTTCTTGATGAATTTGTAAAAATTAAATACGGAAACTTTTCGGAAAAATTCACCCCTCTGTGGAAATTTCTGTAAGCAAAGTATTTTGTTTCGAAATGGTCCCAAAAGTAATACCTTCAATACGAACTAAGGAACTTGGACCGCGCAAAGCCGGGTAATTCACGTGGATATAACATTAAAGGACATAAATTTCATACGGGCGGGAAATGGTCCAAAAAGTAATACACAAAATATGAAGCAAGTAATTGGGCCCGCGCAATGCCGGGTAATTGACGTTGCTTTTATAATACATTAACTAAACTTGAAAAGCTATTGAAATGATTTGTCCTGGCATTGGCAAATGCTTCTCAATAAATTCTCTGCTCATTTGCAGGGTATTCAACCGGCGGCTTGGCGGGCGGGGTGAATTTTGTGCATTGCACAGTCTTTTGTCTTCGTCAATCTTTTGTTGGTTGATTTCAGCTTGGCGCCGCATTACGTAATCTTTGGCATGGCCATCGCAAGCGCCTGATCCTGCTAAGCCTGATCTACCCAAAAAAGAAAAAATAAGAGAAAAGAAAAACTAAAGAGTGAAAGCCAACGCGAATCAGCTTAAATGTTGGCATCAATGCTGAAGGTCTCGGCTTTAGTTGATATGCAGAGCAAAGCTGGGGCAAATCCAGCAGCTGACTCGGGGCTTAGTTATTGTCAAGCTGCTATCATATTTGGGCCACATTGAGGAATGTGCCACAGTCCGCTGCAGTTGCATGCAACGTGACATAAACACTGACAAAAAATTGCTGCTGCTAATTTTCGTTTGTTTTCCGAGAGGGCGTTAAAGTGGGATTTGCAACATACCTGGAAAGGTAGCTGCTACGGCTGTGACGTTCCAGCGGCAAATGCGTCTTTTCTCTTTCAAATCCAGCTTCAGCTTGCCACAGATTGTTGTCGTCGATGTCGTTGTCATTGTTGTTGTCGTTGTCGTTGTAGTTTTCATTGTTGTTGTTGTTGTTGTTGTTGTTTCTGTTTCTGTGCTGGGCAGCAAACATGCCTACACCTTGCACAGCCGCATTTAAGTCAGACAATTGCGAAAGGAAGTCATTCCGAGCTGCCTCGGGATTATCAACAAATTGTTGTTGCTGCTGTTGCTGTTGCTGCTGGCGTTGGTGTTGCTGCTTTTGCTCCTGGGAATTTGCGTATAGTTTTTGCTGCGGCGGCTGCCATTTGGCTGTGGCTTTGTTGTAGTTATAGTTGTCATTGTTGTCGTTCCTATCTGCAATGCCATCAATGTTGTTGTAGCCATAATCGTTGTTATTGTTGTCGTTGTTGTTGTTATTATTGCCGTAGTAGCTGCTGTATCTATTGTTTTGAAGCGCTGACACGGACTCCTCCTCGCAGGCCGATGCGAGAGTTGTGCGCCTTGTTGGGCCACCAAATCGGGCAGCAACAATGGCCAACAGCAGCAGCTGAAAATGTAACCACAATAAGAACACAAAAGATATATATATATATATATATATATATATACACATAAATATGGCGATATCTGTAAATGTTTTGGGCTAATATAATTACAAAAAAGGGCTCTCGACTGCGCAATTCGATTTGATTGGCTCCCTGAATGGCATTTAATATGCACACTAAGTCACGCTAGTGGCACAAATCTAACCACTAATTCAAGTTAAGGTCTCACAGGCTTTTGATTGATAAAAGCAACTAAAACAAAACGCAGACGCAAACTTCCTGTCGCAAAGTTCAATTCCCCTTTGGTTGTTGACAATCAATGCGTCGGCATTTTGTCAAAACACCAAACAAGAAGTACCGAAAATTCAACACCCTTCTTGACCGATTGCTGCCTTAGGATTTAAATTATATAGTAGTTCGATTTGATACGGTTTACCTCCTGGAAATTCAAGATTGCTCTCTATATTATTTTATTTTACTTATAGCTAAGGATCAGAGCTAAGTTAATTATAATAGTTCTAATAGTCCGATCCGGCCTGCAAACTTTCAAGATAACAGCTTTAGCACTGAGAGATTCTTTTGCATATAAATAGACACATAAACATGACTATAACTATTCGGAGTTTGTTACTGATAAAGATGTCTTTCTAAGCGTCACACACTTTATCATAACATTATGAAACTCCGTGCAAGAGTATTGAAAACCTCACAAAACCCTAAAACCAAAACCGAACCCAAACAAGTTGTCCAAAACTTTCGAGCCTTCTCCAATGCCGTGCGGGCTGTTTAGAAATAGGAGGATTGCACGCGCCTATTCCGGCTGGCTGGGACATGAAAAACTTTTAGCAACCAGCCCTTGGACATACTTCCATTGAGTGAGTGTCCCAGTCAGCCAGCGTCAGTGCCAGTCTGATGACTTTGATTATGTGCTCCAGTCGCTCCCTCCCTCCCTGTCGCTCAATCTGAAAGTGCCCCCAAGTCAAATAGAGTCGTCCTGGCGCGTCATCTCATTTGGGTGCTGTTTTCAGTCCGGATAATGCCTCTGACTGCCGTGCGACCCCTGCGATAATATGCCGCACGCGTGGCTCAAGGCTATATAGAACATATGTATATTATGTACTTTATAGGTATGTAGTCCTATATTTTACCACATTCATAATAAGCACACGATACGTGACCAAATAGTTGGCGCCTTAAAAGAAAATGTTCTAAAAACTATGCAATGCCAAGTGGAAAGAGCGCAATACGTAAAAATTGAATGCTGGATACTCTATTATAGTTAAGTTTTAAGGAAATAACAAGCATTTATAGAAACATATATGAAATACTTATTAGAAACATAGAAGCACAAATGCAGGGCTGAATATAAAAAATTAGTAATATTCTGGTATACAAATTTATAAATTGTTATTGTATTAATTTAATTATAATTTTGTAATGATATTATACTTGTTTTTTTACTGTCATTTTTGTTGTTAGCACTACGTTTTACAACACTGTTTGCCAGATACTCACATTCGAGCCTAGAACTTTGCTGTTTAGTTGACTGTGTCAAGTATTTTGTCCATTCCTCCATCTTATTCTATGTAAGCACCAAAAACTTAGATAATCTGATTGTAATATATATATCATTATATTATATATATTACATATTTTCGGATTGTAAAATATTTGCCTGAAATCTAGTAAATCTGATATTTTAAGAAGCCCAAAGGCGTTCCGTAAGTCTTAAATAAGGTACAAACCGAAGCATAACTAGTATAAATCTTTCACTTTGGACTACAAGTTCTTTTATCTCCAGCTAGTTTTACATGCGCACAACACACATACATATATCTAAATGGCACATATGTACACGGATGCATATAGTTATATGTATGGGAATCTTAGTTTCTTGTTGCTGTGGCTTTGTAAGATTTCTTTTATGTCTGCTGCTGTGGCATTTCCTGCCTATCGTCGCTTGGCCCAGTGACTGCCGCAAAACTTCTTTCATTTGCGCTTTTTGCCCCATGTTTGCCCCGTCCCCGTTTGAGCCCCTGCCCTGCGCCCTCTAAGCGCCAAGCAGACCATGTTTGGGGCAAGTTTGTCAAACTATTTGTATGGAATTCACAATTTCTGTTGATGAAGTTTCGCACAAGCCGCTCGCTGGCTTACGATGGCCGCGTGATCTGCGTGTACAAGTGTTTATGGAATTGAATACTTAGTGCGGGGGCGGAAGTAGAGGGCTGGGTTGATGGCTGCTTGTTGTGAGTCCATTGACTGCCGGTTGGTCTTACAGGTGGCTTTGTCTTAGTTTAAGACAACTTTTCATGATTTGAAGTTGTCAGCATAAGCCGATTTCGACTGCTGGGGCAAGCTGATTAAAAAATATAGAAAAAGGGTCGTTCAATCCTAACGGAAGGTTTAGAGACCCTCAAAATCCCTGCCACACGCCTGGTTATTTCCTTTTTTAAGCTTTTTAGCGCATTACATTTCTTTTTTAAATATTTCCCATTCAGTTTAAATATTTATATAATTCTTATTTATTCAGGCTACAAAAACATTTTTCATATGTTTTAATTTTAATCTTAATATAAGTTGACGTGTATTTTTAATGCCGTTTTTAATGAACATTAATTAAATAAATAATTGCTCAATATGTGTGAGTACGTGTGTGTATGTGTGTATGCGTGTGTGTGTAGTTGAATATTATAAATATGGATTCGCACGTGCCAAGGACAATTGAAATTATAATTTCATAATTTATTGTGCATGTTTGCAATAGTTTGTCTTTGTTCTAGCTATAAACTATTATTTTTGGTTTTTGGTTTTTAATACCCTTTACTTATTTGGAGGCTTGTTAGAACATAATATATTTCGAGCATCCAGCTTTGCCAAGAATGTGTCTTTTACGATAGTTTTTACTTCTTGGCAATTACATTTTTACACGAGGAATGTTCTTTATTTTCCATATTATTTGGCTGCTTTAAAATCTGTAATTTTTTCCAATTTTTCTTTTACTTTTTGCTAGATGTATTTTACATATCATGGAAAATCCATTTTCTTGGACTTTTTCCTGAAGCTCATTCTTCATTTTATTTTAGTTTTTACTCTTTAGCTTAACTCTTTTTTGAAACAAAAACCTTTTTTGAAAGAAACCTTCTTTTATTTCATATTTAATTATTTTCCGCTAATCCCATTCCTTTATTTTTCTGCATAAATTGTTTTCATTTAAATTATTTTTAATAATCAAATTGTTAACCGCAGTTTGGCCCATGATTACTTTTTTTATACAGGGTATTTGTGCGTCCTTTACATTCTTTTGTATTATTTTTATCGTTTTGTGGGCATATTTTGTTGCTGCCATTCAATTACATTTTCAATCAAACTACAATCCGCCGGGCAATGTTCAACTGTCGACACGCGCACACAGACACACACACACACACATATACACACACGTACCACAAACATATGTAAAGTGCCAATATATATATATGTTTATATATATTGTATATGGATTGCATAAATTTGTGACCTTTGAGTTTTCAATTCAATTTTGTGCACGGCAGCAATTGTTCGGCAAAACTTTGTCCTTACACCAAAAGCGCAAAAACAAGCAACAAAGTACACACACACAGACACACACACACTCGCAAAGGCACACTCAGTCGCAATTTGCATGCATTGGGTTGAAAAGGGGGCGTGTGCTGGGGGCGGATGTTGCTGCCACTCGAAACATAAAACAACAGCAAAAAAAATTTAGAACATGAAAATTTTACATTGCTTTTTTCGATTTGTTTTAATTGTTGCGCTCGCTCCATGTTGTTGTCTTTGTTGTCGTCGTCGTCGTTGTTATTGTTGTTGTTGTTGCTGTTGTTTGCTTTGCAATAATTTGGATTGGTCTCTGGTTGTTGTTGGCTGTTGGCTGCTGCTGCTTGCGTTTTGGCAATACATGCGGCTGCTCTGGCGATTATTATTGGCAATTGTCAAATATTAGTTTTTGTTATGGTTTCATCAGAGCGAAAGCATTGATGGCGATTTTAATTAATTTCAAAGTTTGCCAATATCAAAAGTTGCCTACAAGTTGCCCTGTTTTTGTTTTTGTTGTCGTATCGCAATTTCAAGTGTTGTTAGGTCAATTTGCCAACGTATTTATGAAAATTTTATGCGACTGTTGACCTTCAAAATAGAACATGAGTTAGGTGGAGGTTTTTTTTTTCATGTTTTGGCGTATTAAAGTTTTGTCACCAAATTTTTGGCGAGTATAACACTCCGTTAAATATATGTAAAGGCAGCCTGAACAGTCGACTCGATATTGTTATAAGCGATATAATATAAGTTAATAGCCTTTATATATCTAGCATTTATTTTATTGGAGAGTATGAATGGTCGACTTTTTATTGTCATATAGATGTGCGGTGAATAAACACTCTTCCTGTTTGGTTCGTATACCCTTATCTATACCACATTAGGGTTTAATTGATATTAATAATAATCAATATTTATTAATATTTTCATTTAATTTTGTTACTTAGGATTACAAAGTAACATGAGATAACAAAATTATTTATGCAAACATGCAACAGGCTATTCTAATTTATGGAATTTTATTATTAAAATCTATCTAAATATAATGAGCAGATATTTATATATAAAATGGACACAATTGTTATTTAATTTAGTTCTGCAATGTCGCAAAATTTTTCTCTTTTACAGATTACCGCACCCAAGCAACGCAGACTACAGCCAGACAACATGGGGACTTCTCGAAGGCGAACTTTGTATCTCCTAATCAAGCTCACGTAGTTCGGATTAGATTCAACTAGTCATTGACTAAACTCTTAATCTTCATCAGCTCTCTGTTAACCAAACACGGGCAGGTAAATATATTTAGTTCTACATTATTTAGTTATACTTTTTGTATTTCTATAAAAGAACTAACATAATATGCCACTGCTGCTGGGCTTAATACATAACGTTATATATTCTTTAATCTTCAGCAAAGAGCATTTAATTTGCG